ACCGTGAACTAAAAATCACGGCCAGCTATCCAGAACAAAATTGTCTCAAATATACACCGTGAACTATGGTTCACGGCTGTGGTTCACGAATATGGGAACTCTTTTTTCCCGTGTAGAGGCGTGCTAGCGTACCAATTTACTTTTAGTCAGCCTTTAGTAATTTTCATATAAACTTCAAATCAACATTTCAAAGGGGCGTAATTGCATTTGTAAACAATGGCTTTAGCCATCCATTTCTCGCGAATAAAAGCTTACTCATGAAGATTAATAACACCAGCAGGTAGATAAATGTTTCCTTTAACAGCTAGCAGTATTAATTTAAAGGGCTGGGCTTTTATTTGCGAGAAATCGATAGCTGGAACCATTGCTTACAAAAGCAATTACGCCCCTTTGAAATGTTGGCACTGAAATGGTTTATACCCAGTCAGTTCCTTACGAAAAAATTTCAAAGTTTGGGAGGCTTATCAGGACCTGATTTGGACCTGTTTGAACACTGTGGAGTGAAAATTTCAAATGTTCAATCAGGCTAATGTGTGTGTGTGAATGTATGTGTGTAAGGAAAACTTTATTGTGACATGTTTCTCGGCAACTACTAAACCGAAATGAACGCAACAGCTTACCAAATGAAAGGTAATATGGTCACTTTTGATTTGTTTTTTTTGTAATCGGTCAACCGGTTCCACAAATATGGCCAGAACATGATCCGGTTTATATGAGGCATGAGCCTAATTCCGACCTCAAACGAATAAAACTCATTATGTGACACCTCAAATCACATTAGATTTGAAAAGATAATTCGTTCGAATATCTTGTTTCCTTAGACCTTTTTAACAATTGACCAACGGCTAACGGCTACCGTGACGAGATAACATCGATTCAAATCTGCTGCGCGCGAAGGAAATTGTAAACGAACCGAAGCGCCCCTGGCAGCCAATGCAGGAAACAACTAGGTCCAACCATGATACAAATAAAAATTAGGAATTTTGTCAATTATTCAAACTTTTTAGTATAATTAATGCATTAAAAGTCTGCTAACATGAAGTTTACAACTTTTGATAGTACTATAATGAACAAAATTTTTGAATTTGGGTCATTCCAGCTCAAGTGGGTACACCACCTGTGGTCGATGTCACCGATTTGAGTCAAACTTGGCCAAAACGCTTATTTTGGCATTCTGAACAAACGCCATTTTTGATTTTGCTCTAAAGTGCCTAGATCCCTCTCGGCTACAACCCTGGATTTTTTGAGATTTTTTAAAATTTTATCTTTCAGAAGAGATTACTCCACAACCAAATAAGCTATTCGTGATCTTAGATCGTTCATTGGAAGGTTTTTTAATGTAGATTCTTATAAATGTACCCACAGTTTGTTTTTGTTGTAGTAGCAACAGTAAACAAGCTGATTACCGGTAGGTATCCAAATTGTCAAAAAATGGCATATTTTCTCAATAGGCGGGATTTTTAATTTCTTAATATTTTGGGCTCAAATTTTCACCACACATTGGAAAACTCTTCTACTTGATGTGTTTCCAAGGGCGAATGATTTGGACAAATAGTTTTTGAGATATGACGAGATGAGTGAGTGGTAGTTTTGAGCTTTTCTGGTGGAAAATCAATGCTATTTAATATATTTTTATTTATTTCCAGTCCAGAAGTTTTCCAAAGTGTGGTGATAATTTTAGCCAAAAATATTAAAAATAAAAAAATCCCGCCCATGGTTAAAATAGGCCATTTTTTAACAATTTGGATACCTGCTGGTAATCAGTCTGTTTACTGTAGTTACTATAACAAAAACAAAATGTGAGTACACCTATGTAAATCCAAATTAAAAAAAAAAACATTCGAATTCACGTTCTACTATAACGAATAGCTTATTTGGTTGTGGAATAATCTCTACTGAAATTTATTTTTTTTTAAATCTCGAAAATCCAGGGTTGTAGCCCAGAAGGATCTAGGCACTTTAGTATAAAATCGTTTGGCTCAAATCGGTGACATCGACCACAACATTTCAAAATTATGTACCCACTTGAGCTGGAATGACCCATATGTAAATAAAACATTCCTCTTGTAAACGCTCTAAAGTGAGCCATGTTGTTGAGAAAATGAGTTAAAATGATCTATTTTTAAACCAAAATTATTTGAATTATTCTTATAAAATATATGTTAAACGTTAAAATCATTTTTTTTTCTTTATAGTTCTGAGCTTTAAGAAAAAGTTTACTAATAAATAAATGGAATAAATAAGCTCCGGTAAAAATAGGTCTATCCATGATTCATTTTTTTTATTTATTTATTTATTTATTTCGCCAACCAACGTAGACTAGTACAACTAATACAGTTTTGTTTTCTTAAATATATATTTATATAAAAAAGTAGTGTCAGCTTTCTTGTCTTTTCTTTTATGAGTTGTTATTTCTTATGGAATAAAAATATTGCTTTAGTTTATGCCGAGACATTGTAAAGTCGATGGTTTCGCAGTGTTTATTGTAAGAGGCCATCATGCGGTTTAATGGCCCATATTTTGCATAATTTGTGCGATGATGTTAAATGGCAAATAAATTTCGATTTCGGAGTTGCCGAGTGGGTGCATGGAAATTTAATTTTGATAAAAGTTCTGTTGAGTCAATTCGCTGCGAAACGATATCATTTACAAATGAAACCATTGCATATTCACGACGCTCTTTTAATGTTTGTATGTTTATAAGCATGCAGCGTGCTTCATATGATGGAAGAGGAAATGAAGTCCAACCTAATTTACGAAGAGCGTATAATAGAAATTGTTTTTGTACTGATTCTAATCTTTCTTCGTGCGTGATTGAAAATGGAGACCATAAAATGCTGCAATATTCCAGTATTGACCTCACATAGGCAATATATAGTGTTTTAATTGTGTAAGGGTCCTGAAAGTTATAGCAAAAGCGCTTGATATTTGCCCTGTGAATAATTGTATTGTAATGGTCTATGAAAGTTAGCTTAGAGTCTAAGATAATTCCTAAATCCCTAACTCTTTCACATTTGTCTACAGTTTGATTTCCTAATGCAATTGAAATGTTTGAAGTTGTTCTTTTTCTACTAAATGATATTAAGTTACATTTTTTTACATTCAATTCTAGTAGACTTTTTTTGCACCATATGTAGAATATGTGTATTTCATTCCGGAATATATTGATGTCTTCTTCATTTCTTATTTCCAAAAACAGCTTCATGTCGTCGGCATAATTTAAGCAATTTAAGTTTTTTGAGAATGTAAGATATGTCGTTTACGTATAGAATAAAAAGGAGAGGTCCCAAATGAGAGCCTTGGGGGACTCCTGAAGTGACATGAATTGGGCTTGATTTCTTTCCGTTGAATTTAATCATTTGTTGGCGGTTAGTTAAATATGATTGAAGCCATTTCAGGAGCCCTGACTTAATTCCAATGTTTTGCAGTTTAAAGAGTAACATTGGTATGTCAATGCGGTCAAATGCCTTGCTAAAGTCTGTATAGAGAGCTTCTACGTGGTTTCCATTATCCATTGCATTCAATGAATAGTCTATAAATTCAAGTAAGTTGGTCGAGGTCGAACTACCCTTGAAAAAGCCGTGTTGCATGTCAGTAATTCTATTTTTGATTTGGAGAAATAATTTTTCGTTGATAATTGACTCGAAAAGCTTAGGAATGCAAGAGATAATGGCTATACCACGATAATTACGTACGTCAGATTTTCGACCAGATTTAAAGATAGGTACTAGAAATGAGCTTTTCCAAATTTTAGGGAAGGTTCCGGATTCCAGGGACATATTAAAAAGCCAAAACAATGGAGCATTGAGTTCCATTGCTAGACATTTAATAAATACTGGAGGAATTCCGTCAGGTCCAGAACCTTTTGAGGCATCTAAATTTTTTAAAGCCTGCAAAATGTCCTGCACTTGAAGTTGATTGAGGCCAATGTCCCTTGAAAATTCTGGATAAAATGCAAAATAATCGCGGTCACGATCTTCTTCAGAAAATGTCGTATAAATTTCTTGAAAAAAATTTGCGAATAGATTACAGTTTTTTTTTCCGAACTATCGCCGACATTTTCGTCTAGATGCATTATTGAAGGAAAATTGTCAGATTTTAATTTCGTTTTTACGTAATTAAAGAAGTTCTTCGGACAGGACTTTATTTTACGTTCAGTTTTTGCATTATATTCTTCAAATGCAGTACTGATAGCTAAATTCAGTTGATCGCATAGATCCAAATAAATTAATAAATTATTACTACTATTGTGTTTTTTATAAATTTTATGTGCTTTTTGCTTCCGATTTTTCAAGTTTTTTTATTTGTCTGTTAAACCAGACTGGATTTTGAGTGTTTCTGTTACGTCTTTTTTTCTTCAAAGGTATTTCTTCCGAAATTATTTCTGTTAAAATTTTGTAGAACACGTCTATACCAATTTCGACATTTCCTACATTCCTTAAAATTAATTGGATAGGATAGGTTTAATCAAAATTCATTACCCTACCCTTCTTTTTTTATTTCAAGTTTATTTATTATTATGAAATGGGGGCGACCCCGGCGAAGTGGTCATCCATACCTCTCACGCCAAAGTCACGAGTTCAAATCTCACCCCCGGACAAGTCACGAATGACCCAAGAGCGTTAAAGTGACTATAATGAAAAAAAAAAAAAAAAAAATTATGAAATGACATTATGTGCCCAGGGCATCGTCTGTTATCCATTCCAAATTCATGTTTTTTCGATGCAGACCATCAATTTAGCGGGTGTGAACACAGCGTTCAAACTTCTGGGTGGGACGAGGTGTTCAGAATAGTCTATATCTCTATCTTTGCTGAACATACAACTTGTTTTTTTACATACCAAATGTATTGCCCACCATTACAAGTTTGCTCTATGATTTTTCGTATCCATAAACCCGAACGAGTCTGCGAGAACCGAATCAACCACAAGCTGACAGCCAACACATATATGCCATTTGTTTTCATTGAGCTCTTTGTTCTCGCTGTATTTATCCTACAGGACATTTTCGACATCTCGTCCATGTACACATCGGCAAAAAACGAATTATTCCATTGACACATGGCCACTTCGAGGTGAACAAAATACTCCACTGGGATCAGACCAACAATTTTGTGTGGGTATTTTGCGGCACAGTTCTGCCAGAAGGATTATCATTATTGGATTTTTTGTATTTTCGTATTCCTTCAGATATTATCTGGGCATCCCCGAGCACTCGCCCGGACAGCAACATCTGTATCGTGCCTCATCACTGCCACCGAAACAGGGCACACCACCACGTGCCCCTCGATGCCTGACCTGTAGCCATCAGCACAGCGGCCATGCTCACGTGACCAAAGTGAAAGCTTCCAACCGAGTGCAACAGCAGTGGAACGACGATTGGGAAGAAGAGCATGGTGACGAGGAGGAGGAAGAGGAGGAGTACATTGAAATTCCCGTCACAACTCCATCACCGAAGAAAAAACGACAGCCAACAGAAGAACCGCCAAGCCCACCGACACCGTGTCAATTTTTTACGGCCATCTTTGCGCCCAACAGTAACGAATTTGCTTTGATCGAGTGTCTCGGACCAGTGGTGCCATTCAGTGCCATATATCGGATTTTGATAGATCCGACCAAGAGTCCAACGCAGGTCTTGTTCTTCTTGCAAAACAACACCGCACTAGCGGAAAGGATTTCAAAAGTGGCACTGCCACAGGTGAAATCGTTTCCGGTCATGATTTCCGGAGGATATCACGCCCAGGTGCGTCTGTTTTTGCCACCGGGATTGCGGGAAGATGAAATCACGCGGTACCCGATGGTTGTACATGTGTAAGTGCCAGTCTATTTCAATAACATGAAGATAATCTCACATGGTGGATCTTTATCAATTTGCATTTCAGCTACTCCGCTCCGGGAACACAGCTAGTGACCGACAAGTGGCGCATCGATTGGAACACCTATCTGGCTGGATCGAAAGACTATATCGTTACCCAGATCGACGGTCGGGGTTCCAGCGGTCAGGGCTATCAACTTCTTCATGAGGTGTACCGCAGGCTCGGTACGGTTGAGGTCTCCGACCAGCTAGAGGTCGCCGAGTATCTGCGGGACAGTTTGCACTTTGTTGATAAACGACGTGTGGGCATTTGGGGCTGGAGCTATGGTGGTTACGCAGCTGCTCAGGCAATGGCCAGCCCAACCTCGCTGTTCCAGTGTGGTATCAGTGTTGCGCCCGTTACTAATTGGAAACTTTACGGTAGGTTGGCGCGCGGATATTCCCCATAGAGTGACTGTCTGGCATGGCGTAATTAATTCCGACTGGAACATATATATATATATATTCATTTCACCCTAGACTCAACGTACACGGAGCGCTACATGGGTCTACCGAACGTGACCGACAATTACAAGGGCTACGAGGATAGCGATTTATCAAAACACGCTGAAAAGCTGCGTGATAAGCAATTTCTTATGGTGAGTCCATTAGCGAGCTTTTCATCGACTAAACACTCTCACACATACGCGCACGTACGCCCGGGCCGCCGCCGGTAGCCCCCTACTGATGCTGAGTGGCCGTATTTTGCTGGAGGGATTCTTCCTCTACTGAGGAGTGAGAACCACAAATCGTCCGTGGGAAGAAAAACAACACTTCCTATGCTGGGGATGCGATGAATGTTTGTTACCAGGTTTTTATTATTATTATGCTGTGAGGATGTCATCATATAGGCGTAGTTAGAAGCGATTCCTTCTTAAAATCTGTTTTATTTTGTCATTTGAAATCCAGTTCGCTGTTGATGAACTTTACCGAAGTTACTTCCAAGATTTTTTCTGTAGATTGAACACCAATTCTCTACGAAAATTCGTTAGACTCGATTCTGAATTTTTACCCTACTTATTTTTAGTTTTGCTAACTTGACAAAAACTTCGAATCATCCGGTAATGTATTCAAGCTCCACCAATGACACACACACTAGCGCACTCTCTAAACTGAATCCAATCATGAAACGGAACACCTTCCTCGACCAACCCCACCGGATAGGGCATATTAAGTCATAAATCATTTAATTATTCACCGTCCGGGGGTAGTCTAGTCGAAAATCCCTCGGCCGAAAAAAGGCGTCTACTGCCCTTTGCTTCCCATCTCCCGTGGCAGTCAAACCTTCTGACCTATAATGCGTGCGTGGTTGTGTTCGGGCCGCCCGAAAACATTTAAGAAGGGATACGAGTGCTATCAAGCCGCGCGTTGGAAATTAAATTATATCTCTTCCTTTTGGGTTTCGCCCGGAAAAAGGTTCACGGCACTGCGGACGATAATGTGCACTTCCAGCAGACGATGATTTTCTCGAAAGAACTATCGGCGAAGGGAGCCCTGTATAAGCAACTGATCTACCCGGATGAGGGTCACAACCTGCTCGGTGTGAAAAAGCATCTCTATCGATCAATGACGATATTCTTCGAGGAGTGCTTCCGCAAGCTGGTGAGTAAAGGGATAGGAGTTTGCCAACATAGGTCGAACTCATTTGCATTAATTATTTGAAATTCTTCCACCCAGGTGCCCCAGGACGTGAAAGCAGGACTCGGCAACGGTGGCTCGAGTGATTAATATTTGCTCGACTACTTCGGTAACACTGACTCAGCATCAAGTTTCATGTAAAAGTTTCTTCCTACTTCTTCGATCGACTTAGAACTCGCAGTGTAGCAACATCAACTTTCGAGCTCTGATGGTAGGCGTTTCTTCATAATAGCCACGGTTCCATGTCTTTTCGAGCTCTATCTCGTTATCGTTATCCGAACGTGGGCTTAGGCGGATGGACAAGCGGCAGAGGATAAACCATGGGAACCGTGGGGTAGTGTTTTTGCAGACGTTATCTTAAATGAAGAGTCGGTAGACCAAAAACGAAAACTCGTCCATTAGAGGAAAAACAGCCTTGAGGGAAAATAGAAAGAATACGTAGGAAACTTTATCAGTAAACTTGTAGCCGTTTTGAACATAGGATTCAAAGATAGTCACGTAGTGTTACCAGAAGTAGCCATCTATAGTATAATAACACTAAGCAATTACTATTGAACATGCATGCAAAAGCGACAAGAAAATCAAGAACAAAACATGGTTGTGACACATTCGGAGAGGATTACGCGGAAAATCGATCCGCCACGGTTCGTCCTCGCTACGGTAAAAATCGATCTGTCCGGACTGTACAGGTGGTAAGCATCGTTCATACGACTATTGCTCAAAAATATGGCAGAAAATGGATGGTGGTGTTCGAAACTGATGACAAACGGCACCAAATTGGGCGTTTTCTTTTAGTTAGAGTGTACTATAAACTATAAACCGTCAAATCTAGTAGAAAACCGAAGGGCGACACATTTGAATGAGATCTTAAGAGCTGTGATACTTTTAGAGAAAGATAAGTTTTGAGAGTTGACATTTGGCCTAATAATAGCCTTATGTGTTAAGGTGCAGCCATTCCGTGCCAGCGAGTTCGTTTGGATTATTTAATTGACTTCACTGGATTATTATTGTGCTTGCCACTCAATTTACAAATGCAAAAATGATTAAGACTTTTGCCGAATTTGTTTTTGTTTCAGTTCCAACCTGGATCGGTTATCAAGATTGGGTTTACCCAAGAGGTAGGTCACCCCGCACACCAACCTTGGGTGTACTTTTTTCTCGGTGTGCTGCAGTGTGCCACAGCTGTGACGATTGTGCTGGTATTGACGGTTATAGAACAAGCTGCGATTGTTTGTAAAATACGTATGTTATGGTATATTTGGCAACACGGTATTTTTGACAGCTTGAATATTTTGGTTTGCAATTACCGAATCCGTAGCAGGTCTCCAAGGTTTAGAGAAAAAAATACTCAAGCAGTTCACATACATTCTAACTAAATTGTTCACCAAACGGAAGGGCATGGTCTCTCAAACAACTTTACCCAAAATAGTATTTTTTTTTTATATATAAATACACAACAGCGTCACGTAGTGAAAGAATACCAAACTCTACTGCCAATCATCTGGAAGGCCATGACTACTCAAATAATTTCGCCAGAGCTATCCAGGGTTGCTTCCATTCAGTATTGTAAGCGGTCACATTAGTCGACGCATTTTCCATGATAATTGACTGCCATTGCTTCCGACATTTGCAAAACCAGCTATCAAATTAAAATACCAAACTAAAATGTTATCTGACAGGTTTTGTCATACGACACTGTCGCCGAGGACCGTCACGAATGTATGCATTTTAGTTGTTCTCATAATAAGAGCTGCTGATGTTGTGCTTGTGTGAATTCTGAAAATAGCAAGCAACGATGCCCTAGTTATAACATTTCTGATCAGAAATGATTTAATTTACACTAAATTGAGTAATTAGAACAAAATCACACATGTCATGTGATAGTTATTTGATAATTTTATTTTTTCTCGAATGTTGTTGTACCGTTTGTGTTGTGTAAGAGAGACGATGGTAGAGCATGAGAGTACGAATACAAACAGACTGTCGCGCACGACAACGAAGCGAGTGTAGTAAAAAATGTCAACTGTTTCAACCCGTGCTTCCACTCACTTGCTATAAAAAAAAATGTTTTTCGGAATAATGAAATCATTAGATTTTATAATAATATGTTGTACTTGTAAGTTACACGAAAGGGTTGTAAAGTATTAATCTGACTCTTAAAATCTGTCAATTTGGCTTTCAGAGCCCGACAATTAGCGTTTTTATGATTCGTGAGCGTTTACTCAGAGTGAGCGCTCACGAATCGTAAAATCGGCAATTGTGACGCTCTGAAAGTTATATTGACAGGTTTTATGAGTTAAACACATACTTTACAACCTCTTTTTGTAACTTACAAGAACTAGTTATCAAAATACATTTTTTTTATAACAAGTGAGTGAAAGCCACCCTGAAGCTGTCTAGAAAGTTACTGGTCAGAATTTCAAGGTATTTTCTCTAGGATGTTCAGACTACCGCTGCGTTAAAAGCAAATTGCTAACTAATCAGAACTAACCATCTAGTACTCTACTGGCTAGTAAGCAAAAACGGTCACCACTAGGCCACCAAGTCCCTCGTATCACTTCAAACTAATTCGACTGTTACGAAAACCTAGATCAATATTAAAACAGGGAATTTATCACAAAAGATCAAAGTAATGTTCGCATAAGCTCTCCCTTAGCTCAGTCGGTAAAGGCGCAGCTACAAAGCAAGACCATGCTGGAGGTGGCCGGTCCGCTCAAGGAATTTTTCGGGTTGGAAAATTTATCGCAATCCCTGAGCATATAAGCATGATTGGACTTGCTTTACAATTATACCAATGCAAAAATGGTACAGGCATCGAAAGCTCTCAATTAATTATTGTGGAAGTGCATCTAGAACACTAAGTTGAGAACACGCAATAAGCTAATATGTGATATGCAATAAGCTTGAAATGTGAAGAAGAAGCATTGATGAATATACTCAACACGGAAAAAAGTATGATAATTGAAAGTCCATAAACTGAAATAATTTTAAAATGCAGAACACTTGTCTGTGAACATACTGCTCAGTGCTGTCATGGTAAAATTAGAGCTGGTTGCTTAATGATATTTCAAATGTGCACCCCCACCCTCCTCAAATCAATGCTCTGCTCTAAGGAGCGGCCACACTTGTTAGTAAAGAATGTATACACAATTTAGTTCTCTCTAATAAAAACTAGGTACGGGTAAAACTGGTCTGCAATGAGCTCGCCATAAAATTTACAAAAAGGCACTGTTTTTCTTTTTCAGGATACTGGCTTTTCAGTTTAACGATGGGTCAAAATCAGGCTTGTTAATCGATAGCTCGAAAACGTCTTTCCTTTAATGTCTGCAAAATAAATTCGCAGAGCACCCTGGTCAAAACGTTACGATCTTTTGTGTCCGATGTTGGGTTCTTTGGACTTGGCCTGCTTCAGGAGACATAAACCTTAACCGTCTTTTGTTCAGCGCATAAAACTTTACAATCTTAAACTTCTAGACCTGATGGAAAACTAAATTTCTGGACGATAAAACTGTAATCAGCACTTTTTTATGAAATTACTAATTCTTCAAGATTTTACAACATCCTCGAAAGCCTAGGCTTTCCTGGAGTTTTCTGAAGTAATAAGACTTGTCCTGAAGACCTTTGACCTTCAACGAAGTTCTCTAGGCTTCCTTGATTTTTCTCAAGGAAATACGCTCCCGCATATTTGCATAATGCCTTCAAATTCTTTTGTCTGAATATCCTGAAGCTCCCGCAATTTATCTGAAGTTTTCTATACTTACTTCCAAAACTCAAATCTTCCATGAGCTTCTTTAGACTTGCTCAGAGCTTCCGTTCTTTCATTAGTTCCCTAAATTTTCAATGAACTCCTTGAACTTCTCTTACGTTCCACCAATTTTCTTCCTCTGAAACTAATAACTCACAATAAATGTTTAGTACATTCCTGAAATTCTCGGAATAGTCCATAATTCCTAAACACCTCTTGAAAAATCCTCAATTCAATTAACGGAACTGCTCTGAAGTTTTCTGATCTTCCTAAGAATACTCGGAACATCCCTGACTGCTTCCTAAAAATCTTTAATTTATTTGAAGCTCCCTGGACTGCTCTGAAAATCTCGAAAATTGGCTAAAGTTTTTGGAAATTCACTGTCTTTAAAGTTTCTACGATTTCTTTGAAGTAAATTTAACTACCCTGAGGTTAACTGATCTTCCCTGACATGCTATTCTGAAGTTCTCGCAGGTCACCTGAGGTTTTTGGTACTGCCCTGAAATAAATGTCAAAAAAAACCTTAAAACTCCTTTGAAAATCTCTGGATTTAGCGGTGCCGGTGGTGTAGTAGTAAGCGTGATTACCTCTCACCCCAGCAGGCCTCAGTTCAATCCCAGTCGGCGCCGCTGGGATGTTCTGAAGCATAACATCTCTGATCACGTGGGAAGTAAAGTCGTTGGTCCCCGGTTCATGAGTTGATGGGTCGATAGATAGGGTCGAGATGTGGGAGCTGTCTTCCTGGCGTCGGTGCTCAGCACGGAAAACAAGATCGACGGAAAACAAATCAAGGGAAAAAAAAATCTCTGGATCTTTGTTCCAAAATATGACGAAAGATTTTTTAACATTTTTAAGGAATTCTTTGGACATCCCAGATATTCTCGAAACTTCTTAATTTATCCTGAATCTCATGGTGCTGTCTTTAATTTATAGAAACTAACCTTAACTGATCTTTAAATTTCCCAGAAAGTCTGGACATTACTGAAGTTACTCAAGTAGCACAGAAACAGGAGGATAATAAAACTGGGACACAGCTGGAAATTGTTTGGAAAGGAGGGGATGGTCACATCAAACTCGAACATCAGACCCTTACTATCCTGCAGCCTGTTCATAAAACTTACCCGCAATCCACAGTATGTTCTTCCATTCCTTGGAACTTCTTCCTACATTTTTGAGAACCAGCAATCTTTCCTGAAATTCTTCCTACTCTTTTGATAGTGTCCCTTTTTTCCTTAATTTGTTATCCGTCAATCTTGTTTTCCGTACCAATGGTTACCGACGTCAAGAAGGCAGCTCCCACACCAGGACCCTACCTATGAACTCATCAACTCATGGACCGGGGACCAACGGCTTTACCCAAGTAACCAACAAGCCCGCTAATCGCCCTTTTTGCAATATAATGCTGATATAGGCTGATATAAAGTTTTAAAACCCTATAGCAACGTTATATTGCAAAAAGGGCGATTAGAAGGCTACTATCGGGCTTGGCGGTTAATTGGGTAATTCTGTGCGAAGGAAGGTGTGATCAGTGATTTTATGCCTCAGAAAATCCCAGCGGCGCCTGATGGTGTTTCTTGATTTAGCCTGAAATTGATTAAACTACCGTAAAGATCTCTAAACTTCCCGAGCTTTTCTGCACTTCTAGAAATTTTCCAGAAACCTATAGAACTGCCCTAAAACTATCAGAACTTAGCCTAACAGATCTTGGAACTTCTCCGTAGTTCTACGTTATTCAAGGCTACCGCATTTTTTTTCTGATATTAATATACCTAATATCAATATTTGTTCACCTCGAAACCGGAAATATAGGTACCTGTCTTCTTTGAACCATATGTATACTTTTCAAGCTGGTGATGCAAATATAAATGAAAGCATATATTTAGTGAAACAATATGTATTTTATAAGTTGTAATCTAATTTTAATATGTTGTTCGACTGGTAAGTAGGGAGATTTATTTTTTATGGCTTTCGCAGTCTATGGTAATCCAAACGGTCAATTATGCATTGCCCGTTGTTTCAGCCGTTTATTGTGGCCAGTTATTTTGAGGAAGGACCGTTGTATAGTGAAGTGTCGTATAGTGTCCCATGTTAATTAAAATCCAACTCAATGAACCATACAGGAAGTTCCTCCAAACTAAATACGCTTATCGTGGCAACAAACACAATTTAACGACAGACGGTAGACAGTTTTACCTCTATGGTTTTACTCTTAAAAAAAGGAAACAAAAACCGACCGAAACGTCGGGCAATGCATAACTGATCGTTTGGATTTCCCTAGACTGAGAAAGCCATAAAAAATAAATCTGTTGTAATCTAAGTATATTAATTAAAGCCATACGCCATTAATCCGTATTCAAGCAACTGCAGAGTAAAAAAAAACACTGTTAAACTTAAGTATTCACGCCAAACTCCTCTTCGCAGCTAAAGCTTGGCATCAGTTTCGAACACCACTAAACCATCCGTATAAAATATAGGATTTGATACCCACAAATCATAACGATTTTACAGCCCACCTAAGTGGAATAATTGGAATTATAATTCCGCACGTAGTAACGGGAACGGGTGTGAGGTGATAATTCTGATTTTATTTGCTCGTAAAATATTTTAATCCTTTCAACTCCCCATTCCTAATCATATACAGCAGCCGGATCAAATTTTCCCTCCCACCCAATCGTAGCACGTAGAAGTATTTAAATTGTAAATAGAAATGTGATATAGGCTATCTGCAAGTGAATGAAGAGCAAAAGCAAATCAGCCGGCGACAGAGAGAACGATGAATGAAGCGAGCGGCGAACACGGAAAGCATTAGAATAATGAAAATAAACATATAAAAAATTAACGGCTCTGGCCCTAAACCATGAAGCTGGAGATCGTCGAAACTGAATGCTAAAAAAATACCAAACTTCATCCTCACAGAAAACTCAAATCTCAACCAAACCACATCGTACTGAGCTGAAGAATGGTAAAGTATTGTAAATTCTAATTTTAAGTAAATTGGTTCGGAGGAGATGTAAATTTGAAAACATGAATAATCCCGTTTCTTATGCAGCGCCACATGGTGACGAGGGAAGATAGAGTCTCCCACGGAAACTGTTATCTGAAGAAAACAAACAAACGAATGGCAGAACCGACTAACCGAAGACAATATCCTTTTACTCGACTTCTAATAAGCACCCAAAAGATTAAATCCATTCATCACTCGATCCATTTTCACGTAATCATTAACGCCAAATTAAGTCTGCGGGTATGAAATTGCTGCCAAACTGGCGCGCACCTGCGTGGGTGGGGGGGGGGGGTTTCTGATGTGTGATGCCGGGAAAATTCTGTGCATAATTAGTGTTTCACGTTTTTTTCTGGGTTCGCAGTCGTAGGTTTGTTACCGGAGCCGGAGGCGTTGGAAGAACGATAAAATAAAATTGGCGGTTTTCCAAAATGGCAGAGGCCCATTTGCACCTTTCCCTAATTTTTCACAGATCGTTAAGATCGGCGCGGTTTGATGCTTTCGGTATATACATGACGCCGTAGCCAGCCCGATAATTGGACGGTTACCCGTGGTGGTTGAAATGGTTTGTAAAAAATTCAATTAAATCCTTTCGCCTTTCGGTCCCCAAATACGAATCGAAATGGCAATCTGATCCCTTTTCGCTAACCCCCTCAAGGGTGGCTTATGACCGGGTCATTAAATGGAAGGCTATATAGATGTGGCATGGGGTAGGATAATATGTCATTGAAAACACAAACATTTATCATTTAAGTGCAATTTTATAAATGCATTACTGATAGATTGGCTGAATCAAGTATGCCCCACGGCGTATCAGGAAACACCGCAGTGCACGTTGGCCCAAATTCCACGCGGCGTTTGATCTATTCTGGACCAATTATTTGTTCGATCGAAATTCCTTTATTTAATGTCGGTCTCTGTTCCACAATCTAGTGCCAATCACCGACGGACATTGATTGCCATGCATTGACGGCAATCGAATGTGTAGGAAGGCAGCTTCCATACCTGCGTAGGATATCGCACCTATTCAAACACACATGGGCCAGGACCAACGGCTTGACCAGAGATTTTTATGCCTCAGAAAAATCCCACCGACCTCGGCTGGGATTGAACCCAGGCCTATTGGGGTGAGAAAGCAGTCACACTTACCACTACACCACCGGCGCCGGCACCCATTATTTGTATCTAAATAAAAATTTCTACACGCAAACAAAAAATTTATTACAGTCAATGTTTGTTGCATTTCCTATCACACTCCGCAGCAAATACCGTTGTTCGAGTTCAGTCGACACCCTTTTTTTCGTCATAATCAATTTCTCTCACTATACAGTGCTCATTTTTCGGTCTCCAATTTGATTACATTGGACCACAGCTCGGTATATCCCATCCTCCATTCATGTGGTCTCCACTAACATCCTGCGATGGTCCACACCTGGACCCTACCTATCGACCCATCAAATCATGAACCGGGGACCAACGGCTTCACTTCCCTTCCGAAGGAAGGCGTGATCAGAGATGTTATGCTTCAGAACATCCCGGCGGCGCCGACTGGGATTGAACCCAGGCCTGCTGGAGTGAGAGGTAATCAGGCTTACCACTACACCACCGGCGCCGCTTAATCCCACATAATTGTAAGCAAATCTTACGTCCCCCGGTGTATTGTTTGCTGCACATTTGAATGAGCCGTTAGAGATTTTTGAGCAAAAGTTAAGTTCAAGTTTCATATCGGTTTGTCGGTGCTCAAAGTAGCTGAAAATCGAGGCAATCTTGAAAGATAAACCACCTACCTGTATGAATTTGAATTTTGACATGACAACATTCTCTTGATCAAGACTAGAGTCGGTGTATAATGAGTCACGCCAAGAGAAAAACAGTTGAACTCGCATCACGGTTTTCGAAAGACTTCTGCATCAACTTCAAATGACTTTTAGCGAGGAAAAAAATTAACGGCTGTAGTAAATCATTATATCAGTGATTTTGTCGAATTATCTTAAATAAAAATAGTAGAAATTGTCATTACTGATCATTAAAAAACGTATCGCATGACAAATGTAATGCTCACTTTTGCAATACCTTTCGTGGACCTTTCATAGCATCGTAATGCTTGTTTACTTTGCACGATAGGTAACCGGTTTGACAGCTCAATAGGTAGACTTGGCTTCACTCTTGGCGTGACTCATTATACACCGACTCTAATCCAAGGGGGGGAGGTGGCTGTCAAATACGAACAATCGTCGCCTACCTCGCATAACTGGTTCTAAACGTAAACAAGCCATAAGAAACCTACAGCGTTTGTTTACGTTTGGAACCAGTTTCATACAAGATGATCAGTAGGCTGATTTGACAGCACGTCCCCCCCAGCTCTAATCAAGACAACCGCTGAATTTCGAAATCATCATCAGCGCTGCCAGATATACCGATTTTCAAACTTTATATCGATACACAGATAAGGTTTCTCAGAATACCGATTTTTTAGATTTTATACCGATTTATACTGATATTTTTAAATGATCGAAATTTGTATTACCTAGTAGAAAGGGGAAACTATTGCGAGAGACTTTAATCCTTTTGAATTTCGGAATATATATTGAATATTTAAATTCCGTCTTCTCTCGTCAGCTTTTTTCAGCGGAATTTCAGGGATGCTTCTAGAGCTTTATTTCAGTTCCATTAGCTTCAGGAAACACACAGGATCTTAAAAAAAAAATCCTAATACTTCAGAAATTTTTAATTTTTAAGATATGTAAGCGTAAGTTTCTAAGTTTCTAAGTTACATTAATTTCTGTTAAAATCCGTGAACCCGGAAATTAAAGAAAAGTCCAGAAAACTCTAGTAAACTATAGAAAACATCAGACATATTTTGGAAACTTCACAAGTCCAAAGTATTTCAGGGAAATTTAATGGTTTTCAGGACAGTTCCATTTGATTCAGGAGAATTTATAGAAATTCAGGGAAGCTCAGCGAACATCAGTACAGATCAGTTAATTACAAGGATATAACTGAAAATAAAACGTAGGTCAAATAACATGAGTTATAAGAAAATTGAGAAAACAATTTAAGGAAGCTCCGTGAATTTTTAAATGACAGTTCCGAGAACTTTTATAAAATAGAAAATCGGGAAGATCCCAAACTTTCAATTCTCATGTTCCACTAATTTCAAGAAAATTGTGAGAGCACTTAAAAACCCAAGCAGCACAATGCTGTGGCAGAAAGTTGCAGCAACTGGATTGTGACTGAATTAAGTCGCATGAAAGTTGCCGGAACCGTTTTGCGATTTTTGTTCTGCTAGAGGAGTTCCGAAATCTTCAGAAAAGTCAGGGATATTTTATTAATATCATGAAAACTGCTAGATCATTAGAATAGGTAAGGGACTTCAA